TCCGACGAGACCGTGGTGTTATATTAAACAAATGGCGGTATGTTAGATTATCTGTGCAAGCGGTGTTGATTTCGCTGTTTTTGCTGCTCAAATTATCTCAAATGTTCTCCTTCAATAACCTATGGCAGTTTTAATTTCGTTTAAATTTAATTTTTAATGTTATAAGCTTCACCTCAAACTCTTCAAAATTTCACATTTGAAAGAGCCTTTTGACAATGATAATACCTCTGTATGGTTTCCGCCTTCATTCTATCGAGGATAATAATCTTCTTTGACATGAAAATAATCGGATGGTTTAATTGATAAAAATCGGCCTTTTAAGAGAGCCTTGATATTAATTCAATTTTCAGAATTGTACTGTTTATTCCACTTTTCGTTGATATAACTAAAAGTGCAGGCCATCCCTGKTCTCCACTAAGGTTTTGTGCTTTTCCAACACTTTCACGAGSTATCTGACYCTGGAAGTGTTCCCTGGACCGGCTCTGCCACTTAGGAAAAAATTTTCTCCAGAAATAGCCAGTTCTACGGCTTTCCTATCCTCAACATTTGGAGTAATTCCGCTCATGTTTTCTTTTATTTGGTGCACCATAGACATACCAAATAACATCACTGTAGACGCTCAAGATTTGAAAAACATATCTGACTTTGTCTACCTGGGATCTAACATCTCAGCAAACTGCTCCCTGGATCATGAAATCAATCGCCGCCTGGGGAAAGCAAGTACAACCTTTGGTAGGCTCTCTAAACGTGCGCTTTCAAAATTAAAGGCATTCATTGAAAGGCACTCGTTCATGTGAACATTGAAGAAAATGCGGCAGCAATAATGGGAAATTCCACCTATCGTTACGGACATGTGGTTAAGTAATATCCATGGGGGGAGCGAGTTATCATGTTTTTGCGCGGCGGCTGACCGTCCTCAGTCGATAAAACATAAGGGTCAGGATGTTTGCTAACTCACAGAAAGCGAATTTCGAATAACTTCCTTTGAAAGTAGAATGGCGAAATGGCCGTAATAAACTAGATCGCTGATCACAATGTGACTCTTGCAGCCCATAAGCACATGTCTCCAAACCACGTGTCATATATGTTCCTCCTTCTAGGCTATTCTTCAGCCGATATCCTTCCTTTAAGTTCTTCCCACGAGGTATCCGTTACCGAAGGCGTCTATTGTCCGCATTGAAGGCACTCCAGAAAATTTGCGTCATTCTTGCATGCATTGTCTGTAATTGAAAATTACGAAATCACTGCTCGCACTACCCATCGCATATAGAAGGCTGTATAGATGAATTCGGAGGAAATGAAGAATTATCATGCCTTGGTGCAAAGATGGACAAAACCGGAAATGCAGCGCAACAGAACGGATTTGATGCATCTCATCGATGGGGAAGTGTTTTACCGCATATCTCTTTGGCCCAACAAAATGACAGCCTTCTTTTGGAAAAAACCACTTCCTGATAGAGCTCTTTTCCAGCTTTACCTGTTTTTGTATGGCAATGGATGTCCGCCAGCAATTGCCCAAAAATGGATTCTCTCTAGTTTATTTTGGGCCGATTCGCAGAATTCCTATAAGCGATTATACCAACTTATGTGGATCTCTCGAGGAGTAGAGACAAAAAAGAGTATATGGTATTATTTTGACTTGGAGTACAATAGTTACTACTATTTATCAGGGAGATTCCTGAAATTGGTGTAGAGGCATGGCACAAGCTCACCATCAGAACATAAACAAGATGGTGTTGTAAATTAGTCGGGAATGGGATGTACTTGAAAGAACTATCTTTAGAATAGCTTCTAGAACAATTGCATGTCGGTGTTTCGAAAATAAAATGTACTTGAAACTTAAGTATTAATCATTGTTATCTTCATTTGTGTTAGTTGCAGTCGGTGGTTCTATGAGGCTGGAAGTTATCCCGCCCCGCATTATTCTCGTACATGATTCCGCTGCCACAGTTGAGGGGATGTTTTCATCCCAACTCGTGAAATAAGGTCGCGTTCACAAAGTTGACGTTAATAATGTAGACATCTGAGCACAATATGTCGGTTGGTGATATGCGGAAGCCTGAAATATCAAATTTGAATTAAATATAGATTATATATCGGGATGGGCATCGAATTCATGCGCGACTGCGAGGCAGCAATTTTGGATACAAATGTGGTGATGCCTTAAACGGAAATGTGAATTTAAGGAATCGGATGAATAGAGCAAATCATATAGATATTGCAGGGTATTTCGAAGCATTAAATATTTTATTTATTGTCTTTCATTTATGATTCTCGTTCCTCCTTCGTCGAAAATAATCCCACAAATCACTTGTCCTGGTCAGCTGATTAGTGTGTTTTTGTATCATGGCTTATCGTCAAGTCCACTATGAAGTCGTTATGAACAGATAATTTTAACGCCCAAGAGCATGTGTCTGAATGGCAGCAATTTAGTGTTAATTAAAAGAAAAGAAAGGACAAACAATTGTCCTCTACTTCATGGCACAATAGAGAAGACCCAGTCATATACATGAATGAAGGATGTTATGGAGTGTTCTTTTGTTAAAGCACTTAAATAGGTGAACCGCAACACAAAGTATGAGGAGGAGAATAAGCATGAATCGAAAGATCCATATGTTGGAATTAGTTACAGGACTGCATGAATCATGAGGATGTGAGAGGACGGGCACACGTTTTGATGGCATTTCTATAGGCAGTTCTCCATCAATGAATTTCCATTCTTTGAAGGAAGTTCAACTTTTTGACTGTTAATGGACAACAGCGTGCTTGAAATATGGAACAATTGAACCCGGTTGCATCCAACAGGTTGAATGCAATCATTTTTTATATTAGTTACTTAAAGAAAACATCTGCCGTTGGGAAAAGTGCATAACATCGCCCTTAAATGCATAACCTTAAAGAAAGATGAAAGTTGAATTATATCTTTTGTCTGATGCTAGATGCTTGCTGAAGCCCTTCGCCTCTCTCGTTTATAAACGCGGCATAGGTGAATAAATATAGGAATATGGTAATGCGATAAGTGTGAGGTCCTACCTTTCCATAACCACCTGCGGTATAATATGTGCGAAATGACGTAAATACCACATGCTCCTTAAAACCGCAACTGTCAAACACCACGGGATTACTTTGGGAGCTTGTGAAATGTTTATGGAATAGAAGCATCGCTACCTCATTACTCATGACGAGAAAACAACAAGGCGCAACTATGGGGGACGAAGGAGGCGATCGCGATATGGTTGAAGAACAATTCAATATATGGGCCGTTTTCAAAACCATAGGTTCGCAGTTTTTACAAATCGACGCAATAATGCCTGTGATCGAAAAATTTGTAAAAGGAGCAGGCCATTCTGGTTTTGGAAACTCAGATATGAAATCGGCCCAATTTCGAAGCGATTGCGAAAACGCTCTGTTTTTTCACCCGAGGTTAAAAGAATCTTTTCATGCGACGATGAATGATTTCACATCTTTCGCTATGGCAAACGGTTATGCTTTAGGTGCAATTCTAATGTCCAATAGAGAGAAATGTAGAGAGTGCAAGAAAAAATTATATCTAGATGGGAAGCCGAAGGTAGTGGTCATCTATCACGCAAATTTTGGGACTCGTTTGGGCAGTAGGTATACTAAAAAGTGTACAGGCTGTCATATCAGCGAGCACTATGGCTATTGGACCAAACATGATAAGAAACACATCGACTTGGATTCTGGTCAAAAGGAATATATAATGAGCACAGAAGAAACGGCAATTGATGTGAAGTTATTAGAACAATACGCCTCTCTGCTCATAGTTGGAGCCCTTCCTTTCACGACGTTTGTTAATGCCTACAACAGAATGTACAGTACAGATATCTCTCAAGCGATAGACTCATTCACTTCTTCACCCTCAAAGCGAAGGAAGAGGTTAGTACATAATGCTGTTAGTTATTCTTGATATGCTTCTTGAGTGTAAATGGGCTCGCGTTAATACTATATCATGCCATATTGCATTTTGGACAGAGATTCACCTGCAGATCTGACCGACCTGATACAAAAGAGAAGACGACTTGACAGAAGGAGATTTGAAGACGCCTTTTTCTTGTACGCTTCGATCCGGGTGAGGACTAAATATTCTATCCCGATGGAATACACACCATACGATACCAATGAGATGCTCAAGATGTTGTGTGTGTCATATTATGATGCATTTGTGAAGAAATGGGGAGGTAAGGTGCTTGTTCATTGACAATGAGTTCAAATAGGGAAGGAGGAGTAGCAAGGAGGACTATATGGAAGGATGAGATGTGTTCTTTAAGGACAATAAGAATATATGATAAACCCTCTTTCCAAAGAGTTGAAGATATTGTTAACATGAATTTCCTCTCACTTAATGTATTCGAACCCTGTCATGAAATACAGGAAAGCCGAGAATTCAGAATAAGTGAAAATGTTTGAGCATTTTGGAGGTTCGTCGTTGTATATCGAATACTGCACTGAACTCATCGCGAATCGAAATGGTAATTTTTTTTTTAAACAATCTCACCCTTAATATTATTCAGATCACTGCTGCGATACTCCTGGTTGTGAAGAGATTATAGTTTTGGATGGAAATATGAAGAACGCAAGACAGGTGTGCTGTTGTAACAAAATTGGCTATGTTCAGTTTTCTGGGCTGCAAGAGAAGGTCGTCACAGGTGACGTTATTGACAGAATAAATCTTTGATTTTTGTCTGCTAGCACAATGAAATCTGTTCCGTTAGAGGTGATGCACATTTCGGCTTCTTGGAGAAATCGCTATATGAGCTGTTACTTGAATTAATTTAACGCATAGGTGACAGATGCACATGCCGCCATTCATGACTGAAAATGAAATATAAAAAGAGCTTTCCTGATACCTGGATTGTTTCGAGATGATTACTAGTGTTATTTGAAGGTGTCTTTTTCAACACATATTCGGGTTAGAAGGGAAGTAAGGGAGAGGTTCTTTGCGAGGAAACCCACCCGAATTCAGTGTGTTCAATCGACTCTATTGTAGACTAAAGCTGGTTTTGGGGAGAGGAGGCTATTTCATGTCATTGTTGCTCTTTTCCTATTCACAGGTTGTCCTAACACGCCGATGCAACGACACCGCTACTGTTCCACGCATTTGGGGTTTGCAATGCCCTTTAGAAACGATGATGTGGTGCCTTCTGCGCTCAACCAGGAACAAGATAATCCTCTCATATTATCGATAATTTCGCAAAAGACAACTCGTCAAGGACGCTTGCTAGAGGTAAAGGCACAGGAACAGATAGTGAAAATATCGAGGCGAACTTGACTGGTGCTTTGTCAGTCATCTGATTTTAGAGTTGCGGGGTCGATTCGATTCTTTTGAGCTGAACGGTCTATTGTCCTTTTATTTACACACAGCTTCTTTGGAGCGACAACAGGAAAAGTTGGGTGCGCGAGAATAACCTGCCTGAAGAAATAAAGAAACTCCTAGAGCACAATGAGAACCTCGAACATGTTACGGTCAGCGTGACGGAAATTGGTCAAACCAGAACTGAATTTCGAAGGAAAACTAAGGATGAGGTTACTTCCAGCCTCAATCTCTCTTCAAATGATATCGTAGATGCCAAAAGGTGTGAGTTCAGTAACCGTATATTACCAGTCGTAGAATACTCAGATCGTTTATATATAACAGCAGGTGTGCGATTTGCGGATATTTGAATGTTTCTATTTTTTTCACTTCAGGTTGAAATACTTTATAGGACAAGAAGATGCGCATGATCTCAAAGATGAATTATATGCTCTCAAATGTGGCACCGAAAAAGGGAAGCACACTGCTAAACATACCAAAACTGCAGGTATTGAAATACACCGATAGTGGCTTTTCATTAAATTGTCAGTTTTCGCACAGCCTCTAAATGGAGGAGTTCTTTGTTTGGCTGATTATTTATATCTGAGAACTTCGATATCATGCATGGTTGGGAGGAATATGGGGTTAGTGTTACTCTTGACTGAGTGTGATATTAAACGAATTTCAGGTATACTGGTTTTTGAGAAGCCCTGTGGAATTGTCATTGATTTCCAAGAATTATTTGGGAGTGAAAGTAAAACTCAAGTTTATGGTCATTTGCACACATTATTACAGCGCGAAGCGCACAAGAAAACAGGCGAGTGATAGATGACAGTAATGAATATAGCTGTTGTTGAATATGTGAAATGATGCTTCTGGCGATAATCACATAGCGCTATAATCGTTTTTTCTTCTAATTCTTTTTCAGAAGTAATTTGTTACGATGATGCGTGCCACTTGAAGAAATTTGCCATCAATCCTCGCCGTTCCGGTTTCAAAGAAACTACACAAAAGATGTCGCGGATGTCCTACATTATAGATCGTTTTCACTTCAAAAATCATGTAGATCCTTGGTGCATATCACAGTGCAATCCCCGGAACTGTCACCAGCTAGAGGTAATCAAGTGCGCAAGTTTCGGATTGTGGCGATAAGATTTGTGTACATCCGGGAATATTTGGTTATTCCCTTTCGTTACCATTGCCTCCTGTAAATATCCGCATATAGGGGGGTTCACGTACATAAGACATTACACAGACATGGTTCACCCTCTCCCTCGAATAACACCCTGGTGGCGTGCATACGACAGTCCGATATATCATATTGAACAAATTTACAACTATTGCCTTTGTTTACAGGGTGTGAACACAGAGGTCTGCGAACAGTTATTTGCCTGGTTGTCAAAATTTTGCCACATGACAAAATACATGGGTCGATGGTCCTTCATTTTTCTTATGCTATATGTCATTGATCATCACAACGAGGATGTAGAAATGGCGAAAAAGCGATGAGGAGTTGCATAGGGAGTGATAGCTTTTTTGGACAAAGGGGTGTAATACAACTTAACGATGGGCTAATATTATTTTAATAAATATGTGCATTTACAAATTTAAATGTATGAACTCCTTCCATGGACTAGCATATGTAACAGATCCCCCGATGAAACTTGATGGATAACTATTTTTCATGAATCATTTAGACCACATGTGGTCACTGTCTCAATGGTCACAATAAACAACAATCAGGCCACTTGAAATCCCAGATGTGATGGTTTCGAAATCCCACGCCAACATTTTATGACCTTTTCGGGTGTAAGAGTGAAGGCAAGAGATTGTGTTTGATTTACTTAATCGATTTAAATGATTCAAAGGATATAGTCACGTTCGTGATCAGCGCTTGCCTTTCACATATAACTTTGCTGTTATTAAGATAAGTGAAAGCAGATGTTGACTGATGTGGTCGGGACAAAGAATACCACGACAACCGCTATGTAAATTAGAAAAGGGCTAAATGAATATTTGGTTTGGAATTACGAGTGAAGAAACGGAACAGAATAAATAGTTTTGAAGTCTATAACTTGAGAGGAAATGATTCTCTCGATAATATGATGTAGATTCACAGATATAAGTGGACAAGAAGGCCATTAGGAAATAGGAGTGACTTGACCACACCCTACTTCAATGAATTGAGTATCACAAAAAGATGTTCAGAAATTGAAAGAGGGGATGACAATAAGTAATATTACAAGTTTTCGCGTCTTAACACTCAATACTAAAACAATGAAAGCTTATTTGACATCATGAGCCCCTCTCGATTGCAAAATAACTTTCGATGTTTGTCATATTGGTTTTCTGCTTTTGAATGTGTGCTGGTTGGATTATAACTCATTGTGGTTTAATTACCAGTGTAAAGGGTTGTTGCACAGGAATAATGGACACTACAAATGTGTTCCCTGTTGAGTGAGGGGATTCCAGAATGCACAAGAAATGACGATAGCTAACGACAACAGAGACTCCTTCATTGGAACTCCTTGCCGTGATTGATATTGGAGACATGCACTGAGAGCTGCCTGGTGCTTCTTCACGTGAGCTTTTGAAAACGAAGCATCATAGTGATATTTTATTTGTCGGTTGGAGCTGTATCTCAGCGAGAAAGAATGAATTGCATCCTTTTCTGGTTATGCGCACTGGCATTTCCGCTAATTTTTGTCTCCCTCGTTGAATTGTGAATTCTCCTCTCTGTTGAAGTAGATAATAGTTAGTGATAACAAGTAGATTCAAATCGAACGATTTGAGTGGGTTTGCGGTCGTGGTCTAATTTCGTCTCCATGGGTTAAATTTCCACAGGGATTCCAGTTGAAAGTTATTGGCTATTTTGAAGTCTGACTGAGCTGATGACTTCCTTCCGCGTGATGTGACTTCGAATGGCTTCTATTGACTGTAAATGAAGGAAATGTGTCAATTTTTGTCAAATGTGGGGAGATTCCGTAGATTTGCGTCATTATCAAACATAGTCGATTGAACGTATTCACTTTTCCATTCGTCTATAAAGGATAGTATTGGACTAGTATGGTATAATAGTATAAGACGGCGCATATAGACTCGACGGTTGCTTGGGGATCGATTCGTGAGGCAGTCGTATATCAAATAACTTTTTTCACTAAATTAATTCTTTTTAAATTCTAAATTGATTATTTCTAATACTTTGATTATTATTAGCTAGTAGTCGTTTGGTAGAAGTAACTGGAGACAAGGAAGAAGTAACTGCAAATACAAGGTAGGAGTAACTTCTTCTGGTTTCCAGTTACTGCACGTGGTACAAATTACAATCAACTAAAGCAGCGGTTTTCTCGCTTTGGATGGGAAGAAGTCGTACACCAATAGTCTCTTCTTGGTGGTTTCTAAGCGTCCATAACATAGTTAGTAGAGGGAGACTTCCTCTACTATGTCCATACTGATCGTTTAAAGGGCTTTTGCCCGGCTTTGTTCRGGTTTCCTCAAGAGACTTATAAATAATGCAAAAACACGTTTTCGCGCATTTGAACCATTGTCATAGGCTAAGAGTAAATTATTTCACAACAGTCCGTCGACACTAACATTTATAGTTTTTTTATGTTTTAGGAAGAAGAAGTTTTGTTTCTCCAATGAGGATGACCTGAAATAAAAAATTGTATTAAAATTGAAATAAAAATAGAAATACTCCATTATTTTTTGCAGTATCTTGATAAAGGGTAATCATGCTAGCCTTTGCATCAAAGCGAGACAGTGGCTGAGCTTGCAATGGCACCTGTTAATAAATAGAAGTGAACAAAAGATGTCTTTCACTGSAGGCTTAACTGCTGTCTTGTTTTGATGTAAAGGCTGTTTTCCTTTGAAATGGCGCTTGCTAGGGATAGTAACCTATTTCACAACACTCTCATTCATGCTCAGTTGAATTAATAAGTAATGGGCAAAATATGCAATAAGATTCCCCACCAATCCGTTACATCTCGCTTAGTTAATAAAAAAATCACGGGGTCTGGCAGTTTCTATAGTGATGCCACCTGACAGCGCAGGAGAAAATCTTTCTGTTTCACATAACTAGTAGCTTGATACAAGCGTCTCAACTCGAATTTCAAYTTTCACCAAATCAACATCTGTTGGCCTCGTATCTTTAGCCTGCACCTATCACCCTCCGTTCATAGCCAGAGAGTTTGCAAAATCGACAGTCAATGTCAATGTAAAGTGAGACAATGTGAGTCAATGTCAGGTGAGACATCTGACAGAATCGACGAATAACTAAGCGACCATCTGTGAGTTCCTGAGAAATGACCACAGACATTACCATGTGCATGAGACTACAATATTATGTTCAAGCTTAAAGTTATAATCATGGTTTACCATATCAAAACCTCATACTRGGTTGAATATCAGTCAAACCTACTATAGTAGGGTTTWCCGTAAAGTGCTRGAACTAATGTTTTGACATCTTCTAAAATGAAGTTTMGAAACTCCTTTAAAATCCAAGTACAACAAATATCAAGGAATTTATGACTTTTCAGCCCCTAAAATAACCGACTYTTTGGATTTGCACTCTTTTCTATTCATCTGGGATACACGGATGTGGTATCCATGCCTCGATGGTACTAACARAACGTTTCCATCTTYCTTAGACACTGTCTTGCAAGATTTCTGACATCCGCTCTGGATCACGGGCCACTTTCCAGAATGTATCGTTTTGAAGCTTTATTGTACTTTAAACACGTACATTGACTTCTTACACTAACGATTGACCATACACACACACCGTCATAACAACACTCACATTGATGACGTCACACAGAACAACAACCGTTTATGACTGGCCAAAACTTCTCAAAAGCCGCCGAAAGACACATTTTCAAACAAAGCGCTAGAGGGTCTTAATGTTAAGGTGTGATTAGTGACGGGCTATCTCCCACAAGATGTTCCCATGCTACCCCGTGATTGTCAAGTGCCACACTCGGGATCCTGAAACAACAGTTTTCTCAACGTTTTCTCCACGTTGGCTAAGAGCTCCCTGTTTTYCACAGCCCTCACCAGACATAGAGGTAACAGCCAAGCCCAGTATGACCGGGAGGGTCTATTTAGAAACCCTTTTCAAGGCTTTTACCACCCTTTGGCCTGTTTCCATTGCTCGCTCCCATTCCCATTTTCAGTAGTCCCTGTCCTGCTTAATGTGTACCACCTTGACACGAAACGCCAAAAAAAACAACTCCAGGGTCAGCACGTGATCCTGGCACGCTGCTCTATCAAACACTAGTAGTATATTGGCAAAATGTAATAATATCCTCCTATAAACACCTTAACACTGCATAATTAACGCTTCTGTAGTCTTTCTTCGAACCAACCAGCCGAAGAATTCATCCAACAGAAACAACATGCCCGGTGAACCTCAGCATGTATATAAGTTAACACTGCATAATTAACGCTTCTGCAGTCTTTCTTCGAACCAACCCGCCGAAGAATTCATCCAGCAGAAAACACATGCCCGGTAAACCTCACTATGGATACAACTTCACGTTGCATAATTAACACTTCTTCTCAGTCTTTCTTCGAACAAACCCAAAACTGAGCGAGAATGAATTTCCAGCGTCCTGTCCCTTTTAAAATACTCACTTGAACTGCGTGCCTCACGTGCTTTCAACTCTTTCTAGCCACTAATGAACTAGTATTGTGACTTATTTCACTTTCGAATGTCATTAGAGTGTTTGTGAATAGATACCAATGAGAAATCCTTCGTTAAAGTTTCTCCGAGATGATCGCTGTTAGTGGGTTTCATGTGACGTTTCATGATTGTGTAGTTTCACGGTTGTGATTAAACGAAGAATCCCCGTTTTGGATAGGTACGTGCCGCCAGCGGTCTAAAACCCTGATCCTGTTTAAGACACTAGAAAGTGAAAATCAATACCCTGTTCAAGACAAATCGGAAAAAATACGGAATCGCTATCTACGCCGCAACCATCAAAACTGCAATTAAACTAACATCTATCAAAGACAATAAGATGTTTTTGATAACACGTTAATCCCGCTACAGTGAAACGGTATTTCTACGGTATATTTTCTTATGAAAATATTACCCTATCTAAGACRCACACAAAAATTATATCGGTTTTTATCTAAATTGTAGAGCCTGTTTAAGACAATTTCGGATGAAATGTATACCCTGCTTAAGACAGAAAGACCAAAAACCACACCCTGGCCAGCGGCACGTCCCCGCATAGCAAATATACGGGCGCATTTCCAAGAGTTATTATTTCAAAATTTCCTGGGGGAGGACCCCCTCAACCCCCTTAAGGTATCTGGGGACAGTTGTTTTTAGTACCGACCATTACGAAAGAAACGCATCGAAATGCAGTTTATTTTGCTTTGATCCGGTCAATATTTTGTCAATTGAAGGATGTTAAAAAAGATTCTTTGGACAGGTTTTTGAGATACGACGTTCGACATTCATATCCGTCAGATGGTCAGACTAGCACTAAAACTACACTTTAAGTATTCTGGCTCTGCCTCAGCAACGAATTGACGAACTGCGCCCAAACTAAACATGAATGTAGGAATAGGAATAGGCGCAGAAATCGAATGATCTACATGCAATAGAAGTCGACATAACAATTTTTAACTTTGAGCTTGAGTTTTTTCTTTGAAAAAGCCTGCTCCGTGTATACGAGATCATATTTTAAGTTGCGCTCGACATAATTCGTCTAAAATTTTCACACACATTTGTAATACCACTAATAACAAGGTTCAGAAATATTTTAGAGAAAATAGGGCTGGTTTGCGAAATATTCCAGTTTAAGTGTTTTCCAGGATTTCCCCATAACTTGAATAAATTATACTCGATTTTCATGAAATCTATATATAACATATTTTGGTCTTTTATCCTTCATTTGACAAAATATTGACCGGATCAAAGCAAAATAAACTGCATTTCAATGCGTTTCTTTCGTAATGGTCGGTACTAAAAACAACTGTCCCCAGATACCTTAATACTCCCGCCTTCGGAGGTCCTTAGCACCCTAATCAAAAATATGTGTCGCTGTCCCTGGCATGTGCGTATTAGCCAAAACGTCCACGCTACGCGCCTGATTTTGTATTATTTATCAATGAAAACTGGAGGTTCCTCAAAACTTCATAGTCGCCCTTGGTTTGCGTTATTGGCTGACTATTTGTTTTTCGGAACATCCAGTTTCCGTAGGCAACTATCACAGCAAAATGCCTTCAATACTTTATTGCTCAAATAGAAACAGTTTTTTTGTGTGTAAATTTCAACTAATCATTTTATAATTGTTAAACTTATCACGCTTCATTTATTTTCATAATTATTTGCCAATAAGCGTATCTTGCTTTTATTCCAAAAGCTCTTWATTTAGTAGTAATCAGAAATATTTTTTAGATTAATTTGAATTKGAATTGGGAAAATTCAGGAGATGATATCGACAGCAGGCATTTAATTATAAGTGCCTACTCTTAATGCTACACCACAATGACTATAACTATGCTGAAAATTAAGGACAGGCAGGCAAAAAAAGATGCAAAAAATGTTACCTCATTTCTATTAACAGCTTTGCAAACTGCACTGCAAACCATAACATAATGTCTGTAACTTAACACCTCTACTTCTGCACTGACTGTTTCTCCTACAAACACTGTAAATAATTTAGGTAACTTTAAGGGAACAAAATTCAATCACAAAAAAAGGCAATTGTTGGTCTGATTTGATATACAGTCAATCTCATTGATGTTGTTTACTCTAGGTATAAAGACAACAACAAATTCATTTGCATAAAACATTTTTACATTCATTCCCAGGAATAATTATAATTTTAAACTTTACATATAGCGTACGCGCGGGAACCCTGTATCGGTCCACCGAAAATCGACTCGACGGATATACTATTTTTTCTTAGCTGTGGTGCTCCGCTCGCGTTGGYCTCCCGCGCGGGAGCTCCGCTATTAACAAGTAATGTTCGAACAAATCAAACTCGCAAGAAAAAAAAAAGAACTACGCATGGTGTTATCTGCGACCAAGACGATCGAGACGCCATTAATTTCTGTCAAAAAACCGCTGACCACATGTTGTTTACAATCGCCGATCACTGACCCACGCCTAAAATGACGCGAAAATAAGCTGCGTTGCTTTCAATGTACGTATTTTGCGTTCTCATAAAGTTTTAGATGTTTTTKTCGTGGTTTTCAAACGTTTTTATAGTGATTTTTTCGACTCTTAGATCGTGATCAACGTAACCGAGATCGTTTTTAASTCGAACATTGCGAAGCAATCGAAGAGTTATGGGAGGGGGACGAATCTATCACTTACTCAATCAGTCACTCACTTTCCTGTAAACTTGAGCCTGCGTTACATGTGTTCAGGACTATCAATTAATTTTATTCTCATTGTTTTTAGTAATTTACTCATTAATTTACCTTCAACGGATTTCCTGTTCTATATTTGATTTTTTTTGGCAAAGAAAGAAATCTAAAGAAATGCCAACTCCTCTGAGTCTCGAACCTCAAACTTCTTAATTAGAAATCGAAAGCACTACCACTCGGCCCCGCGTAACAATGTTACATAATTGCGGCTCGAGACTTTTTTAAAAGTGAAGGCGCTTGCCCCTGGTTGTCAAGAATCTAAGTTAAAAACAATTAGAATAAACCTGTATCATAAATCGTTCACTTAAAATTCTATTTACAAAGTAATTATAATTTGAATCGTCGTACCGTTCACAAAGGTCGAAGCAAGCAAATAAGACTGGCCGATCCTCCAAATTCGTTTCGAGAATGATTGTACGAAGGTGCTGGCCCTTGCTTATMGAGAACCCAAGTTAATATTAAAATGAAACAATGAAGAATTTTCCAGCTCTACGCAGCTCGCAATCAAAGGGACTGTATTCTTTCTTGCACTCGGTATTCATTGACGTTCAAACAGTATCTGAATTAATTTACTATCGTTGTTATACAGAAATGAATCATGTGCTAATTTCATTTTTTCCCTTGACTCGAGTAAGTTTGCCGATCCTAGCGAAAAAAAAAAAAAAACACTGGACAATTCATCAGTTGCATATTTCAAACGACATCAGATTGACAATTGCACATTGTTATACCAATCTAATTCTGTTTCAACTTATGAAGAACTTGTCAACAGCGTTAAATAATGATTTTTGTGCCGTGAATCTTCGGCCATTTTGCTGCCATCTTGAACACAGAAAAACCCAACATTTCCAGTTCAAACTTCACTCCCCGTCTCTCTCTCCTCACCTACTTTTTTTCTCAAATACAAACACACAAATACAACAAGCAAAACACGTTTATTGATTTATGTTCTTTTGTTTATGTAAATGGAAAATTAAACGAGACTTACCTGTAAGTTGAAGTTTGATTGAGATTCTATCACATGACATCGGAGGCAGGAGATTACATGAGATAGCACAGCGCATGCGTCAAGTCATTCTTTTAAAGTCAGTGGYTGTGTCAGATAACACCCAAATGTAMACAAGCTAAGGGTTGGGACCTCAGGAATATATGAGGCCTAGGGTGGGCATGTAATATCCTGCCTCCGATGTCATGTGACATCATGTGACTTACAGGTAAGTCTCGTTTAATTTTCCAATTCTATCACATGACCGGTGACATGGAGATCCCATGAGATTTTAAAGCTTTGACACAGCCACACACTAAATCATTATTATTGTTAATATCAAACAATATTGTATACGTATCACAACTACATGTGAATGTGATTCAAGTAAACTTTAATCTGGTCTCAAAAATCATCAATAATATTGCGAGGAACAATCCAATAAATCATTAAACAAGTCATAGTGTGCTAGTCAAACATCTAGCTGGACAAAATTATCATAATCACTAAAGTTTATCTATAAACAGTAACAATGTAAAAGAATATAACTTCTAAGACAACTCTGCATTAGCTAGTTTTGATCCTCTCGGTTCTAGCAATGGTTTCTGATAAAACGTTTGAAATGTCTGTGCTGAGTCCMAACCAATTGTGCTTCGGATGATGTCCAAGGGCATATCCTTCTGTTTTGCCTTGGATGCTGTAGCAGCCCTTGTGCTATGTGAAGAGAACAGTTTGGTGTCAATACCAGACTCGTGCAGTACCTGCTTTGTCCATCTAGATATAGTGTCTCTGGATACACCTTTGTATGGTTTAATAAAACTCAGAAATRGTTTGCTCTCCCTGTCCCGTTGTTTTTCCGTTTCTTTGACATAACTCTTCAATGTAGCAAGGGGACATAATCTCTCTGGTATAAATTCAGTTATTTCTACAGGTTTTGTTGTTTTGTTGACAGGAAMTGTCCTCTTTGTCCTGTAACTAAAAGGAGTAACATCACTGTTTTATGGGTCAATTCCTTTAGGGAGAGCTTGTCTAGTGGATCTAAAGTCTTGAGGTAGTCCAGAACGTTTGAGACATCATATATAAGTATATCTTGGCTGTGGTTTGTCAAACTCAAAGATGCCTTTCATGAACCGCATAACAATGGATGGCTTCCGAATTTTTCACAATTTTTAATTGTTATGACAGATGACAATGCTGATCTTGCAGTATTTATAGTGGAATAGCTGAGTTCTTGTGCCTTTAGTGTCATGAGAAACTCTACTGCATCGCCTATCTCTGGTACACTGTGATTGATGTTCCTTTTACTACAAAATTCCAACCATTTGTTGATGTACGTTTTGTATTGTTTCTGAGTGCCCCCTCTCCAGGAGGMCATGAGGACGWCCATGACTACTGGTGAAACATTGTATTTTCTGAAGGAATTCCGGAGAGCGGACAGACCATTAGGTTGAGTTTCTGATGTAGTGGGTGTGGTTTGTTGTGATGCACATGTTGAAGTAAATTTATCGATGGTTTGTAAATCCATGGTTGGCTGTACAGTAACTGTAGTACTAGCGGGAACCACGTTTGAGTGGRCCATACTGGTATTATTAGTAAGCCTTTGGCTTTGTCCTGTTGGATTTTCTGCAGACAGCGGGGGATCAAGCTGWAAGGTGGAAAAGCATAAAAATTGAATTCMCTCCAGTCAWTGGASAATGCATCTACAAAAGCACAGCCTGGGTCTGGTTTCCATGAGCAGTATAATTTAAGTTGTGCTGCYAGTCTAGATGCGAATAAATCTATGTTAAGTTGTGGGAACTCTGATATAATTTCTTTAAATAAGTTCCTGTTCAACAGC